CCAAAAGTGACAGTATAAAGGCAGGAAACACAAAAGCAGTAAGTGAATATTTCTGTAAAAAAAAAAAAGTCAAAAAACTCACAAAAACAAAGGATGTAAAATATAGTAACATATATCTAAAAGGGGGAGGAGAGGGGAAAAGAATGGATTTAAACTTAAATGACCATCAAATTAATATAGACTCCTATATGATATGCGTAAGAGGTTATAAACAAACCTATATATCAAACCATATATCAAAAGCCACTAATAAACATACAAAGTATAAAGAGAAACAAATCCAAATATATCACTAAAGAAAATGAGCAAAACACGAGAGAAAGACAAGAAAAGATCAGAGAAAATCTTCAGAAACAACTACAAAACAAGAAATAAAAAGGCAATAAATACATATCTATCAGTAATTACTTTGAATGTAAATGGACTAAACACTGCAATCAAAAGACATAGGGCAACAGAATGGATAAAAAGACCACACAAGACCCATCTATATGTTGCCTACAAGAGACTCTTTTCAGACGTAAAGACACCTGCAGAGTGAAAAATGAGGGGATGGAGAAACATCTATCATGCAAATAGATCTGAAAAGAAAGCCAAAGTAGCAGTACATATATCAGACAAACTAGACCTTAAAACAACGATTGGGGGCACCTGAGTGTCTCAGTCAGTTAAGCGTCCAACTTCAGCTCAGGACATGATCTCACAATTCATGGGTTCGAACCCCAGCTCTGTGCTGACAGCTCTGTGCTGACAGCTCAGGGCCTAGAATCTGCTTTGGATTCTGTGTCTCCTTCTCTCTCTGCTGCTCCCCCACTCACACACTGTCTCTCTCTGTCTCTCAAAAATAAATATTAAATAAATAAATAAATAACTGTAACAACAGATAAAGGACACTATATAATAATAAAAGGGACAAGCCAACAAGAAGATGAAACAATTATAAGTATTTACACACCCAACATAGGAGCAACCAAATACATAAGACAGTTACTAACAAACAGAAAGGAACTGATTGATAATAATACAATAATACTAGGGTATGTTAACCCCACTTACATCAATGGACAGATCATCTAAACAGAAAATAGGAAATAACGGCTTTGAATGACACACTGGACCAGATGGATTTAACAGATATATTTAGAACATTACATTCTAAAACAGCAGAATACCCATTCTTTTCAAGTGCACATGTAACATTCTCCAGAAAAGATCACATATTAGGCCAAAAAACAAGTCTTAACAAATTCAAGAAAATCAAAGTCATACCATATGTCTTTTCTGACCCCAATGCTATGAAACTAGAAATCAACCACTAGAAAAAATCTGGAAGGACCAGAAATACATGGCAGTTAAATAACATGCTATTTTTTTAAATAACATGCTATTAAACAATGAATGGGTCAACCAGGAAATATAAGAAGAAATTAAACAGTACATGGAAACAAATGAAAATTAAAACACAGTGGTACAAAGCCTTTGGGATGCAGCAAAAATGGTTGCTATAAGTAGCAACACAGGTCTACCTCAAGAAGCAAGAAAAATCTCAAATAAACAACCTAGCCCTACATCAAAGGGAGCTAGAAAAAGAATAATAAACAAAACCTAAAGCCACTAGAAGGAAGGAGAGGACAATAATAAAGATTAGAGAAGAAATAAATGATATAGAAACTAAAAAAAAAAAAAAAAAGGACAATAGAACAAATCAATAAAACCAGGAACTGATTCTTTGAAAAATAAATAAATAAATTGATAAACCTCTAACCAGACTTACCAAGAAAGAATGTGAAAATAGTCAAGTAAAATAATAAATGAGAGAGGAGAAATAACAACAAACACCTCAGAAATACAAACAATTGTAAGAGAATATTATGAAAAACTATATGCCAACAATTTGAACAACACAGAAGAAATAGATAAATTCCTAGAAACATATAAACTACCAAAACTATAACATAAAGAAACAGAAAATTTGACCAAACCAATAACAAGCAAAGAAATGGAATCAGTAATCAAAAAACTCCCAACAAACAAATATCTAGGACCAGAGGGCTTCACAGGCAAATTCTACCAAACATTTAAAGAAAAGTTAATACCTATTCTTCTCAAACTGTTCGATAATCCAGGAAAGAAAACTTCCAAGTCATTCTATATGAGCATTATGCACCTGATACCAAAACTGGATAAAGATACCATTAAAAAAAAGAGAACTACTGGGGCGCCTGGGTGGCGCAGTTGGTTAAGCGTCCGACTTCAGCCAGGTCACGCGATCTGTAGGTCCATTGAGTTCAGGCTTACGCGTCTGGGCGGCTGATGGCTCAGAAACCTGGAGCCTGTTTCGATTCTGTGTCTCCCTCTCTCTGCCCCTCCCGTTCATGCTCTGGCCTCTCTGTCCCAAAAATAAATAAACGTTGGAAAAAAAAAAAAAAAAAAAAAAGAACCATTTAAAAAAAAAAAAAAAAAAGAGAACTACAGGCCAGTATCCCTTATGAACATAGATGCAAAAATCTTTAATAAAATACTAGCAAACCTAATTCAATAATATGTTAAAAAAAATCATCCACAATCAAGTAGATTTATTCCTGGGTTGCAAGGATGGTTCAATATTCACAAATTAATCAACATGACACATCACATCCAATAAGAGAAAGAATAAGAACCATATGATCATTTCAGTAAGATTCAGGAAAAGCATTTGACAAAGTACAATACCCATTCATGATAAAAACCCTCAACAAAGTAGGTTGAGAGGGAACATACCTCAACATAATGAAGGCCATCTGTGAAAAACCCACAGCTAACATTGTCCTCAATGGGGGAAAACTGAGACCTTTTCCCCTAAGGTTAGGAATAAGACAAGGATGTCCATTCTCACCACTTCTATTCAACATACTACTGGAAGTCCCAGCTACAATGATCAGAAGAGTAAAAGAAGTAAGGTATCCAAATCAGTAAGGAAGAAGTAAAACTTATTATTTGCAGATGACGCAATACTATATATAGAGAGAAAACCCAATAGACTCCACCAAAAAACTTCTAGAACTGATACATGATTCAGTAAAGTCACAGGATACAAAATCAATGTGCAGAAGTCTATTGAATTTCTCTACGACAATAATGAACAGCAGAAAGAGAAATTAAAATAGCAATCCCACTTACAATTGCATCAAAAACCATAAAATACCTAGGAATAAACCTAACCAAAGAGGTGAAAGACCTATACTCTGAAAATTATAAAACACTGATGAAAGAAATTAAAGATGACACAAAGAAATGGAAAGACATTCCATGCTCATGGACTAGAAGAACAAACATTGTTAAATGTCCATACTATCCAATGTAATTGACACATTTAATGCAATCCCTATCAAAACACCAACAGCATTTTTCAGAGAACTAGAACAAACAACTGTAAAATTTGTATGGAACCGCAAAAGACCCTAAATAACCAAAGCAATCTTGAAAAAGAAAAGCATAGTTGGGGGCATCACAATTCTGGAGATGGAGATTAAAGAGTGCACTCCTCATGATGAGCACCAGGTCGTATACAGAAGTGTTGAATCACTATATCGTACACCTGAAACTAATATACTGTATGTTAACTAACTGGAATTAAAAATGTTAAAAAAAAAAAAAAAAAAAAA